AGCAGAACAGGCCGACTGTCGAAGTACACTGCTGAGGGGAGCAGTGGGCGGGTCAGGAGAGGTCTGCCACACCATGTGTGTCACCTCCGGGGTAGGCGGGGATCGAAGTCATGCGGAAGTGGCTTTAGCTTCTCAGTGCTGTGCTTTAACCCGCTGCACCACCAGTGAGGGCCCTGTGGTATTTTCTTACCCAAAAAGTCAAGCCTGAATGTAATCAAAGTTTCCATCTCACTTCTGGTTTACAAGGGCTGGAGGAACCAGCTAAGCGACAGCCCAAGGTGGCAATCAGATAAATCTAAAATGTGAGGCATTCTATAATACATCTGGTTTTGTAGAAGATAAGTATAAAGATTAAGGAACATTGATATTATAAAAAGGCATTGCAGGGGGATCCAAGTTAAAAAAAAAAAAAAAACTACTCAAAAGATACCGCCAAAATGCTCTGATTAGATTCTGGTTCTGAAAAAATATATCATTTTATGGACATTTTGGGGATAATTGGGGAAACTTGAAAATGAATTGGTATTAGATCATGTTCAGCAGTTAGTACATTAGTTCAGTGTAACATTGGTATCATGGATGGGGGAAGTCTTTAAAATTGGGAGAAGTATTTACTGAAGTATTTAGGAGTGAGGAATCATGTCTGTGATTTCTTTTGAGATGATTCAGAAGTAAGAAGAAGAAGAAGGAACGAGTCAGGCAAGACACTGCAATACTACCTTGCAATGCATACACACACGTCCACACACACATACACACGCGTACAAACGCACATACACACATGCACACACACACAGATCTATACATGTATCTGTACACATAGCAAATTGGGGAAATGTTAGTGATTGAATATAGGTGAGTATATTGGTGTTTAGTGTAATATCGTTTCTACTTTGATTATGTCTCTGAATTTTTCTAAAGGTTTTCAAAGGCTGACTTGAGTTGTTACCCATAGCTGCCTCCAGAAGACACCCCAAATTTCTCCATCTGGCCATGAAAGCTTGGCAATCTGGTATTACCTCTCCAGGTTTCTTTTACTCTTGTGCCTTGATGTCCTTCCTGCTCCAATTAAAGAGATGTGCCCGTCATTTCCTGGAACACATCATCACGTTTGCTCTGCACTGTCCCAGACTGGCCCCTTTGCTATGCTTTCCCTCCATTCTGTGCCCAGCCCCACCCATACTCTCCTCCAAAGCTTTCCTCTCAATTCTCTGTAGGCAGTAATAAATCCCCTCTGACATTCAGACATGCCCATGACACTGTCTTGCCTTAGAGTTGCTTGGGTTCCTGCCATCACACCCGACCCGATGATGGTGAGGTCCCCAATGTGTCAGCCACAACTGCTTCCACTTAGTTTCCACATGACAGCGCACAGCCTGGCATCTTCGTCCACTTTGCAAACACTGAGCCTGTGCTGTGTCATCTGCAGCTTTCTGTCAAATGTTGGAGACAGTAATCAATGCACAGAGAAGCTCTAATTTCTCATAGAAAAGAAAGGATCTGGGAACCTCCCTGGTAGCGCAGTGGTTAAAGACCGTGCTATCAAGTTCTTGCCAGCCACTACAGCATGAGTTTGACTCCCAGTACACAAGTTCAATCCTTAGCCAGGGAGGTGAATCCCAGGGCATAGCAGACCTCTCCTGTCTCTTCACTATTCCCCTCAGCAGTGTATTTCAGTAGATCTGCCTGTTCTGCTCCCCACTCTGTCTCTGGTGAATCCTTTCACCACCCTCACCTTGTCTGGCACCCTAGTTTTGTATTCATAAATAAATAAATAATTCTAAAAAAAAAAAACAGAAAGGATCTTGGGGACAGACAGGTACACAGGAAGCGGACCAACGAATATATATAGTATTTGCATTGAGGGACCACATACGGTAATTACATACATATACACCACAAAACAAAGGACAAGAACCAGCAATGAAAGAGAATAACAGGTGTAACCTGTTTGAAGCTCGGAGAAAGCCTTCTGGGGGCTGGGGAGGAGTCAGAAAAGGAAAGAACAGTCATTATTGGAGGAGTCACTGAGGCAGGGGGATAAGCAGTGGAGTGAGCAGGAGAGAGCAGATGTAACAGGCTCAGTCCCCCAAAGGAACTGGGTCTCAGTCCCCCAAAGGAGCTGGGACTCAGTCCCCCAAAGGAGCTGGGTCTCAGTCCCCCAAAGGAGCTGGGGTTCTATTCCAAGTGCAATGGGAGCAATGGAAGGGACTGGGGTAAGTGACCCAATTTCAGGTTAAAATTATCCCTGGCTGATAGATGGAATCACAAGAGCAGGGGAAGAAATGGCAATTAGGAAGCTTCTGTAGCATTTGAGAAGATAAATGCTGGTGATTTGATTGAATGTGGTGTTAACAGAGATGGAGGGAGGTGAACAGACTCCAGCTATATTTTGGGGGCCGAACTGAATGGGCGCGTGATATGGACTCTGAGCGCTTGATGTCGGCCTGGAGTTTCTCGTGGCACCATCACCCTGTCCTCACCTCCAGGCGCTTGCCCAGCACGGGATGACCTTTTTATGTCTTCCTTTTTAATTGGAGGTTACCAGGATTGGGGTTGGGGGGGGGGAATGGAAAGTGTTTATCAAAAGCTACAAACTTTGCATTATAAAATGAATAAATTCTGGGGATCATCTGCCTAGCATGGTGACTATAGTTGATGATATTATATACTTGAAAGTTTCTAAGAGAGTACATATTTAATATTCTGAATATTAAAAAAAAGGTGATTGGGGGAGGTGGAGGTATTAGCTATACTATTTAGCAATCAAAAAGATAAACTCATGCCATATGGAGCTAGCATGAATTATGCTTAGTAAAATAAATCAGAAGGAAAAAGGAAAGGATCAGATGGTTTCCCTTATCGGAAGAACATAGGGGAACCAAAAAAAGGAATCAAGGGGAAAATAATAACAACAACAACAAAAAAACACAACAAAACAAAAAGAAACAGACAAGTGTATAAACCAGAGACATTCTGCAGGGGAGGGGGGAGGGGGGAGAGCTCAGGGGACCTTGGAGGTGGTGCAGGGGTGAATTGGTGGTGGAATTCTGTGGGGACTACACCTGAGAAAAGAAAGCAGACATGGTTTGAAAATGAACAGTGATGTAAAATATACATAGATACATTTAAAAATTGTTTTATTTTTTTGTTCTCCCATATCTGTACATTCTGCTTGCCTTCCACTAAGCCTTCCACAATGTTGTTTGTCATCCTATTTCCATAAAACTGGGAAAACATGGGCCCTCCCTGGCCGCACAGTGGGGTAAAGCACTGAGAAGCTGAAGCCACTTTCACATGAGTTCGATCAGACCTCTCCTGACCCGCTCACTGCTCCCCTCAGCAGTGCACTTCATCAGTCAGCCTGTTCTGCTCCCTGCTCTATCTCTGGTGAATCCTCTCACCACCCCTGTACCTCTGACCTGTACCCCAGTTCTGTATGCATAAATAAACCTTAAAAAGGGGGGGCTTTAGGAGGAGTTTTCTCTGTGTGGTGAAAGGTGGCTCGTGGTGCTGGGGATGTCTAAAACCCTGTAGTCTTCTGTTCACGTGTGTGCAATGTGAGGAAATCGCTGAAATGGACACAGTGAGGAGGGAACCGCCAGTAACTCAGAACAGGTGCTCCAGGGTCTCAGGGGAACTCACTCAACCTCTGCCATTGGATTCTAGAGAACAAGAGCCACCTGTCTGGGTGCAAGTGTAGACAGTCACCTGTCTGCCCCTCCAGCTCCACTGTGGGCTACACTGTGTCTACGTGAGCTCTGGGGTATAATGCCTGATGAGGGTCTCAGGACCCCGGCCCCTGGCCCCTGGGGTGAACCTGCCCTTGCTAAGTGAGTGTGACCTTGGTGTGTTAACCTCTCACCAGCTTCCTTGTGACCACGTGAATAGCAGCTGTTTCTCAAGGCTTTAGGGAAGGGTGAAATGGAAATACATGAACTGTGCCTGGCATATAGTCACAAAGGCAGAGCATAATTGCTAATGATGCAAGCTGGTCTTTGCGACACAGCTAACCCAAGCGGGACCTGAGGATCTTCCTTTGGGATACTGGATGGACCATCGAGGAGAGGCTAGGACTGGGCTTTCTGCGAGGCTGAAATGGGTGACCAGCTTCCACTAAGGGTTCCACACTCTCACAAGTATTGCTTTCACTTCCTGTCATGGTCCCAGTGGTCTCACCGCCCCTTTCAAAAATGGAGAAGCAGAGACCCCACCAAGTCAAATCACCTGCAAAGGCAGGCAGCAGCTCCCCACGCAGGCCTCAGCCGGCAGGGCGTCCATTCTACACATAGGCCTTGGGGTCTTTCATCCCTCCTCAGTCACAGAAACAATTCAAATAGTTAAATCAACGGTCATCAAGCCAGTGAGTGACTTCTGGTTTAATTAGGCCACAGGACAGGAAGACAATTAGTTGCCTTTTTAGAAAAAACACCCCTCCCTCTCCCTGCTGTTACCCCAGTGCGGCTCCCAGCTTTTCTCACCCTCCTCAGGCTCCACACACCCTTGTTTTGTACCAGATGATAGTGCATTGTGCTTCAGAGAAAATGGAGCATTCCCTCAAATTGGTAATTGCTTTTTAAAAATATGACTCAGTTGTTTTTCCCCCCAATAGCAATTAATGAAAACTCTCACCAAACAACAGAGAAAGTCCTTTGTAATCACCCAGATTAGGTCTGCTTGCAAGTAACAGGCCTATCCTGTGTTGGTTTAAACACGGAAGGAGTGCACTGTTCAGAGGAAGGCAGCCCAGGTTCCCGGGCTCACACACTGAGGTCTTCAGAGCGAGCTTTTCCTCCACTGTGCCTTGTCACATTGCTGCGATTACCTTCTGCCCCAAGGTAGAGCTGAAATACCAGTCATTACAACTGCATTCCTGTCAGCAAGGAAAGGGAAGGAGTTGGACCATTCCCTCCCTTCTCAGGGGTGGTTTCTGGAAGTCCCACAAATGTCTCATTGCTTCTCCGTGAGAGGGAGTGATGAAAAATGACATTAACTGTAACCCGTTTTCTTTTTGTCTCCCCCACATTCACCTCTATGCCTGGCGTAACGCTGGCCATGTAAATGCTTGCCTGACTTGTGAAGTTGTTTCTGACTTAGGTGTTGTGATAAAATGACAATGTATTTTGAAACAGCCCTTGTACAGGCCAACTCACTTATCATGTTCAGGTGTGTCCTCTGAATAGCTCCTTTAGGCTGTTTCTTTTTTTTTTTCTTTAAATCTTTTTCTTTATAGCATAATTATTTCCTGAACAGATATGCATTGGGTGCCTGCTTGGTGCTGTCCGTGCTGGGCCTTGGGGTACAGCTGTGAATAAGATCGTTCACTTCTGGAGCCCACACAGCAAGGCAGCGAATGAATGAGTTACCTGGGATTGAACTTATCTACTATAAAAAATGCTTTTCAAAATTCTGAGGTAAGGCCCTCCCGGGTGGCACAATGGGTTAAAACTCAGCACTATGAAGCTGTACTTAATCCCTGGCCAGGGCGGTGACCCACATGGCACAGCAGGCCTCTCCTGTCTTGTCCACTTCTCCCCTCGAGTGTACTTCTTCAATCTGCCTGTTTTACTCCCCATCCTCTCACCACCCCTGCATCTCTGACCTGTACCCCAATTTTGTATGCATAGCTGCTGGGATAAAAGAGTGAAAGGAGTCATTTTTTTTAACCCCTTTTCAAAATGCTTAAACCAAAAGGATCACAGATGCCTGCCAGCTGCCTTCCCATAATTGTGACCCAGCCATATCCCAGTTGCTCACTTTTTGACATCACTGAGACAATTGCTTAACTTTCCTGTTGAACATCGACATGACAATCCAACCAAGAGTTTGCAGACATGTCCTTCAATGCTGGCAGCTGTTTACTTGTTCCCAAATGAAGCGTGGAGCTTAAAACCTCTTGCTCACAAATGCCAGGTGATCTTGAAGTCTACAATTTTGATAAAATTATAGTTGCCTATTCAATTTGAAAAGGTTATAGAGAAGAATGCATTAGAAAACTGACGAATATTCTTTGTACTAAAAACAAGGTAGCCTTTATAAACTGACATAGACCAAGCAATGATGCAGAGAAAAAAAGCAAAAATACCCCTAATTCTATGTATGCACAGGGAAATCACTCAGAGGACAGTAAACGGCTAATCGTGGTTTCTCTTGGGGTCCAAGTGAAGATACTGCCCCATGGGGAGTTATAGGCAGGTTTCTCTCTGGCTCTATTGGTGGTAGTTTAAGCAATTTCAAAGATACTGTTTTCACAACTGGTCAGCACACACCCACTGATACCTCGCTCTCATCTAGAACTTGGAGATGAATCTGGCGAAAGTAGGAAGCTTGGAGAATAACACTGTGTGAATGACGAGCTCCTTGGAACAACCTCAAGTGCAACATTTGCAAAATGAAAAGCAGAGCAGAGGCTTGTTATGAGACCTGCAATCTACGTAGAAGTGTGCCTCTCCTGCAAGACAGGAAAAGATCAAAACAAGCGTATGAGGTGACTGTAAGATGCTGATTCTTCAGCAAGACTCAATTCCCAAAACTGCATATTCAATACCAAGAGTTTGAAATGTACTTGGGTAGAGCTGTAAAGATGCCTTCAACCTCCCCACTTCTCACAGGGTGGCAGCCAACTCTGTGTCCGCCATGTCTTGGCCTTAATGACTGATTGGGCAACTTTGGTAAAAGACAAAACTTAGGTCAAAACTGACTTGAACAGATTTTTCTAGAGATGGAGCTGGGATCCACCTTGATACAACCCTCAACTCGGAAATAATGTGACCACGCCAGCTTAGTGAGTCAAACAGCAAGGACTTACCAAAGTGGCTCTTTGACCTCTCAGCTGCTCCCACCTTATGTGTCCAGTGATGGGCTACCTCATCACATCTCTTGGGACCCCTGCCCTGCTTTCATGTGACCTTTTCAGGTTCCTACCATATTCAACTGCTATACAGTCCACTGTACAGATTCTGAAGTCAAGGACATCTAGATGAGACCCTCTGGCCCTGACAGAAATGATTTTACTAGAAAAGAGTGGTAGTATTCTTAGTTCTTAGCGTGAGAGGTGGCCCCAACCCTCACTAGCATTCTTTTAAGTTTTTTATTCATACCTCTTCAAATGAATGTTACCAGCAGAGTACCCACAATCCTCCACCCCTTATGACATAAAGGGTAAAAATTATAGTACCCTCACACCAGGCCCACATCAAAAATTTTGCCAGTCTACCTAAATATGCTAAGAACACAAATGATCACATTCAGAAGGTAACAAGAAAACAGAAACGTAGGCACGCTTTTTTCAAGTATACAATTTGTTTTTATTTACAATACCCTATAAAAATGTAAATTTAGAAACTTTAATTTTTATTAATTAGAACCAAACAAAAAAGATAAAGCACAGAAAGGAGGAAATAATAATCAAGTATTCACTTGATCAGTTGTGACGGGAAGGCGGGGAGGCGCATGGTGGGGAGGGGAGTCAGGTAGCGACAGAGGGAAGTGGGGTGATGCCACTGGGGAACAGCTGTGGAGCCTGGGGTTACAGAAAGGGAAGAAATGAAGAACTGGGATAGCTGGTGATAACGGAGGATTTACTGTTGTACGACATGGGTATGTGCAAAATGTTTATTCTCTTTAAGTATCATGACTTGTCCCCCGACTACATTTGAAAAAGTGGGAACAGCAAAAAGTCTATCAGGACAGTCAAGTAAAATTAATTCAGATTTAATTGGCTTGAGGGTTATAATCGCTAGGGATCAAAACCCCGATCTTGGTTGATTGCTAAATGAAAGAGAGCTAAGGGAGAAGGGTCAGGGCGGGCTGCCCCTGCTGGGATTCAAACCCAGGCCCCTGGCTGCCTGGGAATGGGACTGGGGAGAGACGAAGTAGCAAGGACAGCAGCTCTGTCCACGGTGTGGAGGAGACTGAAGAACAAAGCACACCACACTGAGCGCCCGTGGTTCTAAGTGGGGGTTTCTAACACCCATGACACCAAATAAAATCAGGGAAAAGGTAAGTGAAAGCATGGCTTGCTGAAGTAGTTCAGGAAGACAGTGAGTGTGGGAACGCTACACTGTGGAAGCAGGCCGTAAGTCAGGATCGCCTTGGGCAATCTGGCATGCACTCGAGGGGCAGACTGGTGCGCCGTGACCATGTGCTGTCTCCACTGGGGGCACGGAACGAAGGAAATGTAAGTGGGGAAGTAAAGGCCTTCTCAGCCTAGTGCTGGGCATCAGCCAATTAAGAGCTCTGATTTTATTAAAAAATGCTGCATACCCTGTATTTATTTTAAAACAAGTAGAGCCCACCAAATTAATTACAAGATGGACTAGAAACAGATTAAAAATATTAGATTGGTTTGTGTCTAGAGGGGGGATGTGTCAACTAAGTATTTTTCAATCTAAAATTTGTTCCTTAAGGTCCTACGGGAGACCACATAAATTTGTGTATGGCGGTGTCCTGTGCATATATATGTTGGTTCCTACTTAATTGCCTCTCCTATAATCATGTTAATATGGGGCAATAAGACTTCAGTGGAATGAGGGGAGGACTCCTCTGGCAGGCTACAATCTACTCTGAACTGGAGTAGCAGTGGGAGGATACAGGGAGAGATTATATGTCTCTAGGGCAAAGAAAATGCAAAATTGAGGAGAACTGAGTAAAAGTAGGGCATGCAGAATTGTAACACAGAAGGTAAGAAGAAACCAGCACAAGTATCACCCAGCCAGATTTCACAGAGCAGTAGGGGAATACCTGGCATTTAGAGACAGCCCCTGTGAACAGGATCGGTCCCACAAGATGCTTTGGGGAATACGCTACCTTCCCTCCCTCACTACAAACACTCCATTGGTGATGGCAGCAGTGCAGGTGACAGCCAAAAGGAGGTACAGGACACGTCTGGAGACTGTTTACCGTATCCCCTGAACTAGCCTGTGGGTAAAAGACAGACAGCAAAGTTATCTGTAGAAATAAACTAAAACAGAAGGTAATGTTTGGCATTAAAACGCGATCTCTGTATGAATTGTCTTATTAAAAGACCTAAGCTATCACTTTGCCTTAGCATTTAGACAACCAGAGGGCATGGCTGCATCTAGCACAATGTTTTATACCAAACAGATACTGAAATATTTGATAGAAGTCTTTATTTCTTCTACCCACCCATTCAGTTTTTAGCATCCCCACACCCCAGCCCCCCAACCTCGAAAGTACGAACTGTAGTGTGCAACTCGCTGTTCAAACTTACTGCAGTTTTGTCTCCAGCAAGTTCAGCTTCTGCCGGTCAACATAGCGAGAAAAGAGAGACACTAGGTTTGTGGGGATGGAGACTGGCTTGGCCAGGGCTGCTTGGGGAATCCGCAGAAGTTCTCGGGTTGCCATGAACATCACCTCCGTCCTGACAGGGAAAACCGATACGACCAATGTCACCAAAAGAATGAAGATCACTTGAAAGAAACTAAAAGCAGTAGCCCAGACTGACCACTGGTTGTCCTGTGTGGATTCTGCAGCGGGATCTGAACTCTGCAGGTCTTCCCCACGGCTCAGGACGACGAGGAGCAGCGACAGGCCGAACTACAGGAGAGATGGGGAGACACTTAGCACCGTATCTAAGCTCCCTCTACCACTGATGAGGGGACCCCACTAAATCAAAACGACCCCAGTGCTGTATTCTGTTGTGCAACTGGGCAAAGGCCAGCCGGCCATGAGCTGGAAGACGACGCCTTTCTCCTGCTTTCACTTCCCGCCCAGCAGTGACCAACGCTGTCAACGGAAACAAAGCCCCAGTGCCCGGCGTCCTTGCTCTCCACCCACCTGGGACGAAAAGGTGCTTTGTCCCAGCTATGGATAATGTGGGGGATTTAGCTTTTCTTTTATTCTAGAACAGAAATAGATTTAAAAAAGAAAGCCAAATGAAGCAAACTTAGACACAGGGAGGAAAGCTCATGGAAAAAATAAGCAAAAACATTAAATAGAGTCAGATATTTTGAAATAAGGTGTCAAGACCGGTGGGGAAATGTACAAAGAGAGGTAACTGAAATGATCAGGGTGTGAAACAAAAATTCCTTAAAAGAAGGACTTATTTATTTAAAAACAAAGCCTTGGACAGGATGTTACCAGAAATCCAAAAAATAAAGCTTCACAGGTATGTTCACTTGGGACCACTACAAGGCAGAAACACACTTTATAGAAACAGGGCTCCGCAAGGCCTGGCTAGGACACGTGCTCCTTTCAGCAGGGAATAAAGCCGCGAACGCAGTCGCGGGCGCAGGATGAGAACACGGAAGGGCCGTGGAGCTGCAGGTGAGGCCCACGAGTCACAGCTCCACAGACAAAGCGGGAGGCGGGGTGCTGTGGCTTACAGTGGTTTCCCTTCAACATTATAATGGGATGATGTTGGGCAAAATGACATTTGTGCTGCTGTGGACTGAGCAGTACTCTGCTCTCCCACGTGAGGGCAGGACAACTGGCACGGACGCCATCACCTCCAACGAACAGACCTGGAAACGGCGCTCAGCAAAGGGACATAATAGGCTCAGGGTCCCAAAGCTAGAAAGTGGCAGGCAAGTTAAAGAAACCTGCCCTGAAACCGTCGGCTTTTCTTCTCTACCAGGTGTTCTCTCTGGGTCTCCGAATCTTTAATCTCGTGATCATGAAACGAGATGTCCTACCACTTATAGCCCATGACAGAGACTGCTAATTACAACTTAATATCTCCTTCCCTTATCAGAACTCTGACTGTGGTGAAAATGGTGTGAACTGAATGTTCCCTGCAGTTAGAACTGCCTGTGAGGAAATGGTGGCCACTAAGATTAAAGAGAAGTTACTGGCGGTGAACAGCGAATCTACCCCTTTTGGCCTCTGGCATGTACCCCTCTTCCTGATGCAAAATGAAGCCTTGAACCTTGGGTCACTGCTAAGGACAGCAGAGCAGGCAAACCAAAGGAGCCTGGCTCTGTGAGCCACTACGCCGGGTGTACTCTACCCCCACACTGTTATTTTGAGTCTGTTACTAGAGAATTTTTTGACTTTCACCTGAAAGAAGCCCTTTTCTCTAAAGTTCCCACTCCCACAATTGTCATTACTTCACAAGGCAAATTTAGAAGCCCCCATAGTTCAGGGATTTAAAATGGCAAGATCACCTTGTTCTGGAGCACAGCAGTGAGGTGAGGATTGGAGGGTGCTGGTGCAGCTGCACTCTGAGGTAGGTTCATTAGCTGTTGCAGAAGGCTGGTGACAGTCACTGATGGAAGATGATAGAGGAGGAGAGAGAAGGGGCTCAGTAAGCATGGCAGCACCTACAAAACATGAGTGAGAACATCAGGTCCTGGGAGCTGCACCTCAGTCACCCTGATGGGGCCACGGGCGGCTGTTCAGACATAAGCTCAGCGTCCCCGGGCAGATCTAACAATGGCAAGACAAGTGTAGCACGCACTGCTGTGTCTTAGGGATAGATTCTAAGGCATTACTGAGAACTTCTCAACTCACACAGGAAATGCCACGACTTGTGTGAACCACAGTTGTGAATCACTTCTCGGGTTCATGGCAAAGCTCATGACAATACATCAGTATTCTAATTCATTCTACAAATATTTAAAGGCCTATAATGTGCCAGACACCATGGACTAAAAACTAATGGTAACCAGGACACAGATTCTCAGGGATCTAAGGGAAAGCATGGAAGCTCTCAGTGATCTGGCAACTGCAAAATATTATGAGAAACATTCTAAGATAGAGTGCAACAGAATGATTAAGTATTTTCAGACCTAACTCTACTTTGTTTAACCTTTACATAAGCTTAATGAGGGAATGGAAAAATAACTCTATTTTTATAAATTAGTAGAGAAGCTCAGCGACCAGAAACTCAGTTGTCAGTTACAGAGCCAGCAGTTATAAACAGGCTCCAAAGTCACTGAATTTCAACCTGCTCGTCATTCATTCCGTTTCACCATGACTAAGAAGTTAAACTACAGGGCTACCAATAGAACTTGGTCAGAAGAAATGTCTTCAAGAATGCTTCTAAGCACTCGGGACGGCTGGCAAGTGGACTACTTTTTGTTATCGGCTAAACAAAGCTTTAAAAAATGAAAGCATTTTTAAACATCCACAAAAGCACCATGTAACGATGATCGTATATCTATCACTGAACAATTAAATGACCACTTTGCTTTTACTAAATCCATGCTCCTTTTATGTGACACTTCATCCATAAATACCTCTTTGTATATCCAACAAAATCCCTATCATGGTACCTAGTTAACAATTCCTTAATATTACTTAGTAGCTATAGCAAATTCAAATGTTTCCAATTGTCTCAAAAATGCCTTAGAGCAGCTAATTTATTCTGATTCAAAATAGATGCAAATACTACATTTAGTTGGTGAGGCTTTAAAATTTCACAAACAGGTCCTTTGTTTCTGCCCATTCACATGACAGTTATCCATCAGAAACTGCGTCATTTGTCCCATAGTCTGAAGCTGGCATGAACTTAACAGGTTCCACTCTTATGCCATCCCCCTGCCCGCACATAAAGACTGATAATTGGCACTTCGGCTTGCTTGGCTCCCAGCCCGCCAGCGGGCCGGGCTGCATCCAGGCGCTGCAGGACAGCACTGTGTCCTCTTCTGTGCACGCACAGCACCCAGTGTCTGGCCGCTCCACCCACGCAGGCAGGTGCCAGTGTGCGGATGCTGGCAGCCTGTGGCAGCCACTGTGAAGCTCAAGTTCCCATCCACATAGTACCTAATGCTTTCACCACCAATAATTCTGTCTAGTTTTTTTTTCTTCTTAGGAAATGTAAAATGACAATTTTCTAACTTTATTACTTTTTTGCACTTAATAGCTGAAATTCTTTGATAAAGAATTTTCTGTCAACTCTCTGGTTACCACGTGTAATAGTAAGATAAATGCCTGTAACAGTAATGTAATAATAGGATAAATAGTGACATAGTAGGATAAATGCTTGATTCTTCTCCTTTATTTACCATTTAATAAGCTGATTGCTTAGAAATTTCTGAAGGTGATTAATGTATTTAGTGTCATTATAAACTCATATTTAATCTGCTGCTTTTTCTTCTTGGTGCCAAATGTGCCATCTGTGATCAGTAAGGAGCCCCTGGCTGACCTATATAGACCTAGTGCTCTTCCCCTTCTTTGCTTTCTGGTATAAGGACTACCCTGTGCGTGTTAAGCTTCAGATCTGGAACCAGCTATTACTTCAAGGGAATAGTATTTACAGATGTGGCCAATTACCCTTCATCAAATATATATTATATATTTGGTTATAGTAGTTTATTTCTACATCATTTTGTGCCTTTTTCCATCTCAGCTGCAATCCCTGTGGGGTTCCCATCAGCAAATCACCCGTGTGCCGCCACCATAGTCCCGTTCACTCCCCCTCACCTCCATTTTTGATCCCATTCCCCACTCCACCCCCGTAAAATGTTTCTGGTATAGAGTTGTTCATTTTTTCACCCCTGGTCATTTATACTGCTGCTATGAGTGAAGTCATCCGGTATTTTTCTTTTTCTTTCTGGCTTATTTCACTAAGCATGATCCCTTCCAGCTCCATCCATGTTGCTGCAAAAAAGCACTTATCAAATATATTTGATCAATTTTTCCTTGCCAGCAGGTAAGCTCCATGAAGGCAACCATTTTTGATTACCCAGCTCCTAGCAACTAAAACTAGGCGCTACAGTTGTAAGACTGCCTGCCACACAGAAGTGTATAGTATTTGTTGAGTGAACGAAATGCTCCCCAACTGCTTCCCATGGAACAGTTTTTCTGAGACTGAGTTCCACCTCACTGCCTACAATTCATAGACTGAAAGGTAGCTCTTACTGCTTAGTCTTGTCTACTTTCTAGAATAAACCTCAAATCCTTACTTTCCTCCAATCCATTTTCATTCTTTGAAATCTTTATAAAATAAGCTTGTTTTATCCTGCTTCATAGTTCCTGGAGACCTAAACTTTATATTCATTTCTTCTCCAGATTCTAAAAGTTCAAGGAAGAATTGTTCAACTTTTGTTTCAGACTGAATGATACCATACTACTTGGAAGGCCTTTTAGTATCATTTATTTTAGTATCATGTATTTTCTGGGGAGCGTTACTAGATGGCCATAACTCAACTAGGAGTCAACTAGTGAACCTACAGACAGACTGAATCTTACACTTAGTAATACTGGTACTCTGTGTGCCATCCTTACCAAGATTAGTCTAAATTTTGCTCATCTTTCAAATATTATGTCAGGCATAAAAGCAGAGAGCAACCAAACCAAGAGTTAACTTGTAAACCTGATAACCATGTTTCCAATTCCAGTAAAAGTTACTTAAAAGCACTGACCAGATTCCTCTACACACCATTCAAATTAGCCTGTAGGTAGATGGTAAGCCCAGTGAGAACAGTCTAGGTGATATTTTCTGTCAGGCACAGTAACTAAAACCAGAAGTTTGCAAACTTTTAGTCAGCAACAGATTCAGCTGGGGACATTTTATACAGAAACCCTGCTTTCTTCTGTAAATTCTGATTCAGCCTACTTGGGACAGGGCCAAACAATTTACTTTTAAGTAATTCTGATAAGACCACAGCTTCACAACTATCTCAAGTAACTGGAATTATTAACGTGGTCTGTTGGACCAAAGATGGGATTAAAAACAGAAGCCTGGAAAAGTTGTGTTTTTAAGTGATCAAATCGTACTGCCAAAGGTTATACATATCAGCACAAAGAGAAAGCGGAGAGGAAAGCAAGTCTGAATTCTAGAAATCTTCTCAATTATGAAGGCCCCAAGGAAAGATGTCCCACATGTTGGATCACCTCATCTTGTGCATCCTTCTTGATAAGGAAAGGGAGGTTCCTGGCTGTTGTCATGAGAACATCTGCTGCTTGCTCTGTGGAGAGGAAGGGGAGAATACGGGCCACCATTCTCTTCCCCTTCCGGATACACATGATCTGCACAAAGTGGTCATCGCTTGGCCTGTGGGGAAAACACACTAACATAAATCAACAAGAGCTATGTGGAGAATATTTCTTTTTCTCCCTTCTTCCACACTACAATGAATACCCCACATTCATTTTCATTCTACACATATAATGTACTATAAAAAGTAAGATATACTTGGGGGCCCTCCCTGGTAGTGCAGCGGGTTCAAGCACAGCACTAAGAAACTTAAGCCACTTCCGCATGAGTTCGATCCCGCCTGCCCCAGGGGAGATCCACATGGCGTGGCAGACCTCTCCTGACCCACCCACTGCTCCCCTCAGTAGTGTACTTCGTCGATCTGCCTGTTCTGCTCCCCACTCTGTTCCTGGTGAATCCTCTCACCCTCCACATCTCTGGCCTGTACCCCAGTTCTGTATAAATAAATAAATCTTAAAAAAAAAAAGTAAGATATACTTAACTGACCAAATCATAAACATTTATCATACATTTGCCCAAACAATCATTTAAATCACACAGTCCAGGGCCCAACTACATGCATTAGTTTCTTTTGTTAATTAATTACACAAATAACATGGTTAATATTGTACAAATAAAAAGAAAAGCAAAAAAAAAAAAAAAAAAGAAAAGCAAAAAAGACACTTAAAAAAACCTGAGCCAACTTATAGATGCTCCCTTCCCCTTTTGCAGAGTCTTCTGCTGTGTTTGTGTACCTTTTTTTCCCTTCATAAAAAGGGTAGAGGGGAGCAACAGAATTAATATGGGTTTCTACTCAACAACTTCTTAACACCTTCCCAAGTGTAACAAATACACTTCAATTTATGGCTGCATACTATTGCAGTTGATAAATTCACTTTTTATCCAACCAGTTCCTACTAGCCCAACTGCAGAAAAGGTGTTTTGAAAAGAAGGTGTTTATCTATGTTGTTTTGTCTATGTCCTGGTGCAGAATTATCAGTTTCTTGAGTGGTAAATTGGGACCTGTTATGAGACACAGCTCTTCTGCATTCATTAAATGAGTGTTTGAGATTTATAGAGCATTTGCCATCAACAAGTTTCTGCTTTAGACCCTAAGTGGGAGAGAGACACTCATGATTCACAGAAAGCAATACATCAAGGAGCTTAGTCTCCACTGGAAGACTGGTTTTCACAGGCTGAGAGTATACCAAGAAATCCCAAAGAAGCGCACATTTATACTTCCCATCTTACTAAGAAGAAAAATATACAGAGTGACAAGGCTGAACATGCTCGCAAGCATTAAGCCAAATACAAACTGAAGCCAAATAATGTTGTCCACTGTATCATCAGCATTGAGCACAGTCCCTCACAGATACTAAGTACTTGTTGAATAAATGAATTCAGGATAGAGAATTTCTCCCCCTTGGCTGAGAGGGATTATGGGAAATGTTTTAGAAGAAGTGTGATTTGAGTTAGGCTAAAAGAACAGACTCAGATTACAAAGGTGGTAAGGAAGGGTAGCCGAACAGGAGAGCATGTACAAAGCTTGGTTTCGTAAAGGAATTCATCTAGTTAGTCTCATGTTTTTCTCAAAGTGCACAATTATTACCTCTCTTGTCCAGGCAATTTTCCCCTTAAGTTGTCATACATGCTACAGATTTTGTGCTTTCTTTCATCCATCAAGGCAGGTCGCTCTTCTTCTAGACTTAGGACATAACGCCTTTCATAATCCTCCACGTCAAGGAGTAAACTATAGGTCTGAGGGAGACAGAAAGCAGGCCGCAGCGTGTGAGGTCAGGGTCATACAGTGGTCCCAGACTCTGCTTCTTGTGCCCACGCTCGATGGCCTGGCACACGGTATTCAGGTGTTATGGACATTTCACCAGCGCCTTAATGCACCACATAACACAGCACAGTACATGGCACCAGGGAGAAAGATGACAGTAATACAGAGAAAAATCCATTAAGGATCTTCATTTCCACGGGAAGACTGGTATCCATAGCACGTGAGTATTGTGTGAGAATACCAAGTAAAATGCTTCTATTTTCCACTTTAGTAAAAAAAAAAGAAAAAAACATACTCAAGGTTGAATGTGCTAGCAAGCATAAACACAGAAACACAGGTGAACTGAATGATTAACTATTAGGCATAACAAGGTATTTTCATTTCTTAGAAGGCGAGATGCTAACTGAACATGCCTAGACAAAGCCAGTGAGTCTTATTTGAAACTAACTATAGCAACAAACCTAAACTTACTTTTTCAATGATGACAAGGGTTTTTCGTCTCTTGTCGCGAACCTGTTTTTCTTTTGTCTCCTAAAAACAGATAAGACAGTTCAATGTGAACTGTTGAATAAATAAAATATGCACATGTATTTCCACTTGTGACAATACTTTGAAAAGAGAATCCTGAGTCTCTGAAAGTTAATAAACACTAATGTGGCTATAGAGTTGACTGAATCAACCCACACACAATGATTAAACTGAATTCACAGATAGGCAAAAGATAATCGTAGAACACAGAAAATAAAGATATCATAGGAAACCTTTAAACAGAGAAAATGGTAATTTAAAAAAATAATATAATAGTTTATTTTTACATCATTTTGTACATTTTTTTTCCATCTCAATTGTAATCCCCATGGGTTTCCCATCACCAAGTCACCCGTGTGCCATCACCATAATCCCGTGCACTTCCCTCCCTCCCACCCCCATTTTTGATCCCATTCCCCACTCCACCCCTACAAAATGTCTCTGATACATGGCGGTTCATTATTCTTATTATTTTCTCGCCTGGTCCATTATACTCCTGCTATGAGCGAAACCATCCGGTACTTTTCTTTTTCTTTCTGGCTTATCTCACTAAGCACGATCTTTTCCAGCTCCATCCAAGTTGCTGCAAAAGACATGTGTTTCTCTTTTTTGGTTGCTGAGTAATATTCCTTTGTGTATATGCACCACATCTTTTTAATCCAGTCATCTACTTTTGGACATTTGGGCTGCTTCCATGTTTTTCCAATTGTAAATAAAGCAGCAATAAACAAAGCAGCAATAAACATGGGGGTGCAGGTATCTTTTTGAATCAGTGTTTTGTGTCTTTTGGGTAGATAAAAAAAATGGTAATTTTTAAAACAAGAATAAAATAACTGATGTTGTTTGCAGCTACAGCTACCCCAAAGCCCTGTCACCTTAAGTCGTGCCTGGCTGCTCCAGAGTGAAGTTATTAATATCTCAGCACTCCTGTGAAAACCAGAATGCCATGGCAGGCCAGGCAGGAGTCCAAGGCAGACTACAAGCAACACTGTCTGATGCTACTCATAGCACCCTCAAAAGTAGTGGCACCTACCAGATTTTCTTACATATACAATTCTGCTGGGACTTACATCATCTTCACTTCGAGATGTCACAACAGCATCAATCATTTTTCGGGGATTATTCACACTAGAGACAGTAAGTTTTCCCAAGGAGCCCTCAAACTGCACTGCAAGGACAAAAAATTTCCAACAAATAAAAATCATAATGCTGGCAGACATTTCAAAGATCTTTATAGTCTCTATTTTTCTATTCATAAGCTAAAAATTTACTACATAAGTCTATGTGTTATCTAAAATAATCTCATATCAAAACTAACCTTTGATTTTTATTTTTGGTTGTAGTAATAAACAAAAACCTGAAGTATATAGGTTAGCAGATATTATAACAGGTTTTAAAAAACGGTTGTGGGATCTTAAGTAGAAGGGATCCAAAAGCCTGTTATACTGTTCACTCTAGGCTTGATTAAAGACTGATCTCTGCATTCACTGAGGACAATTGTACTTTCTAATTGGTTTACAAACACTGCTACCCAATAATCTATAGCTACTACCATATCAACAGCTTTATCAAACTTCCTTACTATGGCCCCGGGACATTACCTGGCTTATAGGTATGCTCTAGTTTGGCCACCTGAGGTGTAATGAGCTTGGTGCGTTCCTTTTTAGGGCCATCACCTTGTACTTCTTCAGCAGCTGACAATTTCTCCAGTTTTTCAAAGTAATTCTATCACAATATAAGCAAAGAATAAGTATGCTCTTTATCATTAAACAATTTATACTAATGGCTGTCATACAACTGAATCCTATACATTTACCAATCCAATTTTTTTTTTTTAAAGATTTATTTATTCATACAGAACTGGGGTACAAGCCAGAGATGCGGAGGGTGAGAGGATTCACCAGAGACAGAGTGGGGAGCAGAACAGGCAGATCCACGAAGTACACTGCTGAGGGGAGCAGTGGGCGGGTCAGGAGAGGTCTGCCTCGCCATGTGGATCTCCCCCAGGGCAGGTGGGAATCGAACTCATGCGGAAGTGGCTTTAGATTCTCAGTGCAGTGTTTTAACCCGCTGCGCCACCAGGGAGGGCCTATCAATCTAATTCTTATTAGATTGCTAGAAATTTGCCTTATCAAACACCAGCCTTCAAAAAACTAATCATTAATGGAATATTTTAAGTTAGACAGCTAACACTCTCCATGGAAAGAACCGGATTACTGATACCAAAGATATTGAGGCCATTGGCCTGCGAGATTTTATATGCAAGAAGTAGAAAGCATGTATACAAACCCTTTAGTGAATAGCTTAAAAAAGAGAGAATTTGCTTGATGGAGAATTCTTACCCACTTGAAGAGAATTTTATTAATGTTTGAATGTCTCCAATCATTTAGCTCTGTGAATGTCTCCAATCATTTAGCTCTGTGTAAGGGACTAAACTTTTATCCTCAAAACTAGCACAGAGCATTTACCTGGTAATAAAAATCATCCAAGTAGGGATCAGTGCTTTGTAGCTGCATCATCTGGATTTTAGAGACCCAATCCTTTTCCCGCTGTAACATGAGATTGGCATAGGGATCCTTTCGGAGGTGATCCAGATGACTGCTTCGGTGACTGCCTCTGTCTCCAGCACCATTGAGATTCCGATGCTGACTAAAACAGAAACATATGCCACAATCACTCCACGTGGTTGCATTCATTATGCTGTTTAACAATGCACAGGCCAATTTAAAAAAAGTTCCCCATTGCTTTTGTTAAAAGGGGAGCAGGAAATAACTGAGTCTATTTTTGTGCCATCACCATTGTCCAGTGCACACCCCCCTCCCTCCCAATTTTTGATTCCATTCCCCACTCCATTCCTGTAAAATGTCTCTGGTATGTAGTTGTTCATTAGGAAATAACTGAATCATAACAGAATTTGATAGAACTATGCAACATACAGTTGAGGAAATAAAACAAAGACCCAAGTGCCTTATCAGATACTATGCCATTTTACCAATGGACTTTTAGATATATCCTACCAAAGCCCCATAAGGTAGGTAGCTTTATTTTCTCCATTTAAGACAACAAATGGAAGCCAAAAGAGATCAAGTTAGTTGTCCAAAGCAAAAAACTGAGTGGCAAGATAAGAGATGTGAAAAGAGGCCTATTTGACTCCAAGTCTAAACAAAAGATTTTAGCTGGAAAATCATGAAATACTTCAAAATACATTGAAAAGCTAGTAATATGATAATAAACATTCATTTACCTATTGCCTAAATTTAATAAAAAAAAATCTATTCAGTCACTTTTGCCTAGGTTTTTAAGTAGTGAAGTAACAGTGAACCATCTACACCTTAAAGCCCTCTTGTATCCCTCTGGATTCTAGTTTCCAGGCTTTCTTCCCTCCTCAGAAAACCACTATCGTGTGCATATACCCCCTCCCTGAAATGTTTTTTTATATTTAGTTGTATATCCATCTCTAAATATGGTGCAGCATTCTTCTGTACACAATTAGGCTTCACATAAACTGTACATGTAACTGTGCTCTTGGCTTGCCGTTCAACTTGTCTTTCATGGTTATTCACAAAGGTAATATACAGCACATGTGCCTAGGTATATCCTGAAGAGCTGAACTGCTAGAAGGTGGTGTAACCACACTGTCTACCTTATTATTCCCTGCCAAATTCTCGTGCAGAAGCCTGTACACTCTGTTCTTGCCAAGAGCAAGTGTTAAGACACCTCAAGTTTTGCCTGTCTGTATTACCACGCACAACAATGATCTCATTTCAAATCTGCATTTTTCTAATTATAAGCGAGCTTGAAAATCTTTTCTTTATACGAGTCTTGCCATTTTCCTCTACTGGAATTGCATGTTTGTATGAAGTCTTTTGTTATATAGAAGTTCAAAATGCTTTTAAAAAAAGTGCATGAAAAATTTTAAAACTTTATTGAAATATACCTGATATACAAAGAACTGCACACATGTAGTATGTAGTTCGATACACATGAACTCGGCAGCACTTGCAATACTGTCACCATAGTCAAGGTAAGGGACACATCCAGTGCCCATCAATGTTTCCTTGTGTCCCATGTTTTTTAATTTTATTTTTGTGCAGTAAGAACACCTAACAGGAGAGCTCCCCTCTTAACAAATTCTGAAGAGCAGAACAACAAAATATTGTAAACTATAGGCACTATAAGTTTCACACTTTAATACAGTTAAATGCATTTTTAATTTTTTCCCCTTGTGGGCTGGATGCTTATGTCTTGAGAGACTGTATTGCTTTTGTTCCCCCTGTAAGATATATTCTAGAACTTCTTTGACAGTGAAGAAAAAAAATATATAGAGTACCATAAGATAGAAAGGTCGAGAAACCTGTTTGTGGCCTTCTCTGGTGGTGCAACAGGTTAACAAGCCCAGCACTATGAAGGTATCCCCAGCCACTGCAGCTCAAGTTCTATCCCCAGCCAGGGAGCTGACCCACATGGCACTACAGACCTCTCCTGTTCAACCCCACTGGTCCCCCTCTGCAGCGTACTTCAATCTGCCTGTTCTGCTCTCTACTCTGCCTCTGGTGAATCCTCCCACCCCCCCATACCTCTGGTCTCTATCCCAGTTCCTGTATGCATAAATAAATAAATCTTTAAAAAGAAACCTGCCTAATGTCCTTATTTTATACATAAATGATTAAAAACTATAACCCAAATAAAGGCAGGGATTTTATGATTCTTTTCCCTTTAAAACCACAAAATCTATCAGAGAGCTAAGGCCATGTATATGAATTCACATTTGTGAATGAGGATTAAGTAACCTATAGGCAAAAATAAAGACTGACTGTTGACTTTACATAAGACTGAAATGTAAGGGTAGTCACTTATTTCAAGATTACTACCAGGCTGAAAAGGTCTAAAAGGTAGTTAAGAATAGGGAAAAAATTTGGTAAGGACTGAGTATAAAAAGCTGACTTAAACAAATCACATCTAACCTGCATTTCTGATCAACAGTATAGTAACATGGAAACAAACTGGTAAAACTTTGTCATTTGAAGCTAGTGTATCCAAAAAAATAAATGACAATATATATGATCTTACTTTACCAGTAGTGTAAGTTCAATCAAAACTAAATTTACTAAGAAAGTTAGCAGCACTATGTCACACTTTCAAAATTAAAAATTCAATTATGAAACATGAAGGAGTAGAAATGAATACTTACTTTCTGTTTTGTTGCTGCCTTTGATGTAAGAGTCGACGATGCTGTGGGTGTAGGTGAGTGGTGTCTGGTCTAAACATGGGAGCCTGAGATCTATTAAAGATGAAAAGTTTTTAATTGTTGTTTTGATGGTCTGAAATTTTAGAGAATTAACAATAAGGGTAACTTCACATGGAACCCATGATGTTAAAGTCTCTTTCTTTGAGAAGGAAAAGATAGCTGTATTTTACATATCTCCCACAAAATTCAGTTCTCAGTTCGAAAGGGACAATCATAAATGCTGAATGAATTAGCAGCAAAGCTATATAGCTTTTCTTTTTGCTATTAAATTGCAGTCTCTGAATATTTAATATATTTAACTTCAGTTACTGTAAACAACATTGACAATAATGCAGTTATGTGTGAGGGTCAAGTTTATATATTTATAATTTTTATGGAAGTACCACTGGTTCCATCCTTGTTAGTATTTTGAAGGTACAGGACCTCCCCTTCATCAGGTGGTACCACCATAACACCCTCCTCCCCCCAAGTTCCTATGGTTCCCTCACCAGTCACTGTGCTCTCTCACCCTGTCCTCATCCTCCCCACTCCGGATGTCCTGGCTATACACAGCCAGCTTTCAAAGGGTGAAGGTTAACTTTATATGTCAACTTGGGGAGGCTACGGTGCCCAACTGTTTGTCAAATACTAGTCTAGATGTTACTGTGAAGGTATTTTGTAGAAGTAACATTTACAGTCGCATCAATGATTTCAGGGAAAAAGATGAGTGAGCCTTATTAGCTGAAGGGCTTAAGAGCAAAAATAGGGTTTCCCAGAAAAAGAACTCTCCTTCAAGACAGAAACACAGAAGTCCTGCCTGAGTCTCCAGACTGCCCCCAAAATTTCAAACTCAAGACTGCAACTTCAACTGTTAACTTCAATTTCCAACCTGCTGGCCTGCCCTATGGATTTTGGACTTGCCATTATCCACGACCAGAACAATACTTTAAATCTCTTTACACACTTTCACACACCCTCCCCTCCCACCACTATTTTTCTGGAAAACTCTGGCTGATAAAACATGTGTAATTAAGTACTTGAATCTCTTTTGTTTTATAACCAGAACAACAGATACAAGCAACTTGGTGAGCACTGAGATTATCTAATTACTCAGTACCTATCTCTCTGTCCTTAGTGTATAGTTATCCTTATCAGGGTATTCTAATCATTTACCAAGTGATTAACACTATTCATAGGTGTAAGTAAGGCTATGTTCATAAAATGGGTATGAAGTGATGCCAAGAAACTTGACTGGAGTGGAAGAGGTGATTAACCAGTAAGTGCAAGCAAATGTACACGGGAAGCATGCGACGGCGAGGGAAAGGTGACCCTAAGAAACCCTGCAGGCTGTCAAGCGTTTCTGTGCTTGGCAACTTGAGGACTCAACAATACCTCAAAGCGTATCATGAGACGACTAAATTATAAAGCTAAACGTCAACAATCAAGAAACTTGGCCGCAGTGAATAAACAGTGGCATTTGTTTGTATACCTTAGGTTTTGCAAGTGAGGTCCTGGGCCAGGGGGGTGCTGCTGTGGAGGTGGTGGAGCGGGGGGCGGAGCACCAAAGAAGGCACGGAAGCCTGGTGCTGGGGGAAGCATCTGCCCAACGCGCCCTTGCAGCAACTTGGAATTCATGGCAGCAAGTGGGCTACCAACAAATCCAGGGACCCGCGCAAACTGGCTGGGAGACATGCGTCCAGGCTGTAGCTACAAAGAGGGACATGAGCTTAGATTTAGTTGATCAGCAAGTCCACTTACTTTTATCCACAGAAAAGTGAATAATGTTTCCAGCAATAAAACTATTTGAAAAGACAGAGGGAGGGGAGAGGCAATAATTAACTGCAAAAACAAGAAAACAAAAAGGCAGACCTAGGGAGGCAGGAGAGCTCTTTTGTGGGCGACCCCGACCACAGGCTCACCTGTGCTCCTCCAAGAAGCTGTGCTCTCTGGAGGGGACTGAGGACAGGCGGGACACTGGGTGGGAACGGATGACCCAGTAGGGAAGAGTTCTAAGGAGAAAAAAGAAAGAAAAGAATTATACTAAGAAGCAGGTCAACACAGTAAGAGGGCTCGGCAGGAATGGAGAATAAAGGTGCGTACACAACCTTCAGCTCACACAGTCAACCTGTTCACTAAAGAAATGCAGAAGAGTAATGATGTTTGGGGTTCTAAAGCACTGATCACGTAACAGCAGAAAGAAAGCAGCTGAACCAGGGACTACAATTCCAAGAAATCAATCACTGTTGATATTTAAAGATAAAAGTTGAGATAAGAAACAACTGAACATGATCAACCAGGACTTCTGACCTGGGCACTGTTAAGATCCAGAAATTCAAATACAGGATTAACAGAAGTAAGCCAATATTTGGCAGAGGCCTATGTACTAATAGTGGTTATACAGGTGGTGGTGAGAAAGCAGAGTGCACATTTTCATCAGGTTGCAAGGGACATACCGGGACACTGCAGAGCTGGTTTGGAGACATCCTCTCACCATAGGGAGCAGGGTAACGCGGCGGCATTGGGGGCCGAACATGCACAGGCTTCGGACAGAGAATCTATCGGGAAACATATACACAACTACACTCAAATGAAGCCAGCTTTTCCTCCATCTATATTCTCTCCCCTCAAGTACTGGTAGAGACACAGAACTCGATGCCAAGCCCTACTTCTAAGCAAATTGCTACAGCTATGAGTTCACATACAGACCCTTTGGTCACTTCCTCTCACAAGTATCAAGAAATGTGCCACTTTTAACTGAGGAAGATTTAGCTAATTCTCCAGTTATCCCCACCCTTCCATGCTATCTGAGGGAGGTACCAGCAGATATTCTGACTTGCAAATTCTCTCCAAGAGGATATATTTTGGTAGCAGTGAGGGAGAAGGAATGAAAAGAAAGCTGGAGGATTAACTAAGTCCTATTCTGAAGCCCCTGTGATATGGCCGCCATGCTCAGCTCTTTGTGATATATTGTGACTCCACCATTTCACAGATGTTGACCCTAACTAGGCCATACCAACACCACCCTCCCCCCATACCTTCCAATTGGCCTTCCTTTTCAGCTGCTGGTTTCAGGTGGAGGGAAGTCTATGGAACAGGACTGCACAGGCTCTAGGGAAAGCAGGGATATCTTAAAGGTAAAAAGGGATGTGGACAGTGCTGTGTGTTCCCACTCCCCCCAGCTTTCAGCTACCTCTCTGCCAATGTTCTGGGCAGCCAGCAAAACACTTTAAAAAGGACATATAACTAAGTGTGGTTGACTACCCTTTTCTCCCCCAATGAAAAGGCAGCAGCAACAGGAGTAGTACCAGCAAAGGGCGTTAGGGAATGTGTCTCTGTTTGCACTAACTTCTCCTCTAATTGGCTACTTTTCTCGCTAATCTAATGCCTACCCAAAACCCCCACACTCCTCCCAGCATCACCCATTTCCAAAAAATTTTGCCCAGATTCCCAATTTCCTGGGCTGAGTGCCTGATAATGAGAGGTACCTGTTGGTTGAAGCTGGGCATAGCCATCTGCTTAGGCGGAGTGCCTATGGGGACAGCTCTAACTGGAGGACTCCCAATGATAGGTGAGGTTGAGCGCCTTGGTAGTGCACGTTCAGAAAGGTCCCGCTCATCTTCTGGGCCCTGGGGGGGCCTCTGAGGCAAGGCATATTCTAAAACAGACACTGTAGGCATTTCCTAATTGACAGAAATAGTGAACAAAGAGATTGGCCAACTTGAAATGTTTTAATAGTCTCTACATAGTATCCTGAAAATTTAAAAACTTTGTATTTTTACTTCTTATGTAGTAAAAATACTATAATTACCCTCTTTAGTGCATAGTTCTGAGTTCAATAAACTTAACTTATACCACGCTCAAAATACAGAACGGTTTTATCACTCCTCCATGTTACTCTTAATTGTCCCTCTGCAGTGAAGCCCATCCTACCACCCCCAGACACTGCAAACTCCATCCTATAGTTTTGCCTAGAAATGACTTAAATCGGTGTTCCAATGACCGTCTTTCAATTTTTTCAAAATGAAGCACAGTCAAGTGAGCACTACGGTGATAGCTGGGAAGGGGACAATCAGCAGGTTCAGTTAAGAGTGCTGGCAAATAACACACACCTATGCACTATTTCAGTAAGGGAAGGATGACCACAGGAGTCAACACTTTCAGCTATTAGAATTTTATAAAAAGCGTTTCCTACCTGAGTAAGCAGTGGTCCTCGGATTCGCCTCAGAACTTCAGATCCATCCCAGATGCTAGAATTGAGACTGCCAGGTTGGGGCTGGGAAAGAAAAAGGAAAACACATACACAAAGTCTGGCAGAGTCCAGGCTCTCTGCGCAACTAATTTGCTTTTTTTGGTGAACAATACTCCAAAAGAGCCTTAAGTGACAGAGAACAAGAAATCCAAGTATTCCAGAATACAGAGTCTTCAATGTCATCTCTAGAGTTGTCATCATGAGGAATTGTAGGAACAATTCTCTATGTATGTATGTATACGTAATTCTTCCATTATATTAGATGAAATGCTGGATAAAACGCAGTTTGGTATCTTACTTTAATTATTATTCTGCTCAAACCAGAGTAACTTACTTACTTGTAAAACTGGCCTGGTCTGCACAGCTGTCATGATGGCTGGATCTTCCAGTTCATTTTCAATCACCATCTTACTGAGCCTTTCTGCCAGGTTCTCCTCGTGGTCACCCAACAAGTCCATTTCATCTCTTTCTCCATTGCCTGTTTGTTCACTAACCGTCACTGGTAGCTTCTCCTCCAACTCAGCCAGACGCTCATGTGCTTCCTGCCAATCATCATCTATAGGGAAAAGAGTCATTATTCACAGTGGCAAATTTTATAAAATTCTTCTGTTAATCAAACAAACAACTGCAACTCCAGTAGATAGGTAGCAAGTTGCATTTCCACTTAGAGACATGAAAGAAACTTTGAAACAGTAAAGAGGGTCTTTTCGCAATTAATAAATAACATAGCAGGTATAAAATTCAAGTGTTCAGAGTAATAGGTTAGTATCACTGGAGTCCAAACTGTTCTCAAATTGATTCCTAAACTGGCACCAGATACGCACACTACACTCTGTTGGTTTTGCGACTGACATTCAGGCAAAAGCTTTACCGATAAGGACCCCTGCCCTCCTGTTGGTTTCCTTCAAGCAGGGCAGAGCAGATGTTAGACAGTACATGTTACAGGAATACAGAGAGGCAGATCAAAAAAATTGCAACAGGATGGTGAGAAGTCTATCTTATGGAGAAGGTAGCACCTGCAAAGATTTAAGAAAAAGATAACCACATGGATATTTGGGAGAAGTGTTCTAAGCAGAAGGACAGTGAAGTGAAGTCCTTAAGAGAAACTTTGAGAAAGGGCAAGGACCCTGTTTGGATGGGAGAGTTCAAAGGAAGGTTTAAGAAGAAAACAAGGCCAAGGAGGTAGGAGGAAAGTGCTCTTTAGGGTCTTTGGTTCACTTTGAAATGGGCCAATGGAGGTTATGATGTAGCTTGACTTCCTTTTGTTAAAGATTTATTTATTTATGCACACAAGAACTGGGGTAAAGGCCAGAGGTGATGGTGGTGGTGGGGCAGGACAGTGAGAGACAATTCACCAGAGACAGAGTGGGGAGCAGAAGGAGACAGGAGAGGTCTGCTGCACCATGTGGGTCAGCTCCCTGGCTGGGGATCGATCTCGTGCTGCAGTGGCTGCAAACAGCTTCATAATGCTGAGACTTAACCTTGTGCCACCAGGGAGGCCCGTGGCTTGACTTTTTGAAAGCATCTCTGGCTGTTATAATGAAAACAGTTTGAGGTAGGGAGGCAATATTGGAAGTGTGGGCTCCAGCAGTATGCCAGGGTAAAGGGGATGGGCCCGGGCCCGGTCTGCTTTGTTGTATCTTTGCTGTTCCTTCAAGCACTGCTCAGCCTGCAGCACCAGCACCATGCTCGTCTTCTCATTTTTATGCTGACACTGCATCATTTGAGGCGCAGTACAGCACTGAGGACAATTTTCAGAACTTTGAATCAAATTCTCTAGATCAAGATCACCCTTCCATCACTTCTATCCATTCTAGTCTTCCATTCCCACTTCCACAGAAAACTCTATTTTGCGCCCTTCAACATTCAAATTCAGACAACGTTCCCTGCTCACAATAGCTTTTCCCTCACTATCTTTTTCACATGACCTATTCTCTAACACAAAAATCCCATGTATTCTTCTGAATACACTGTATTTCATTCTTATTTAATTTGTTTTGAAAGTCCTATAAAATTAGTAGAGGGGGGTCGCAGGCATTTCCCTTTATAATTAGCATAAAAGCAGAATTCTGAAGAAGTGCCCTCAATGACAATCTCTCTCATATAATTTTTCTATAAACTGCATTAAAAGGAGAAGGATGCAAGAAAGATACCCCAAGGAGGGGAAAAAGCCTATTACACAGTAAGGGTATATAATCAGGGTATAATAAATGGTAGCCATGTAAAAAGAGAAAAGATTTAGATTACCGACAAGTTCAGTTTGTTAAAATTACCTTTTTTTCTACTTACAGAGAAAATACTTTTGTTAAAAAATTAAATGTTAACTTGAAAACGATAGTTCACCATAATTCCACAGGTATGCTAAGTTTTTAGAGTATGCAAACTACAAAGTTTAAGGGTTTTTGTTTAAACAACACACCCTAACATCTTTTCACATATGTACACTCACATATATTATTATCTGATAATACTATCTCATCCTTCTAATACCTATACAAGAATCTATTCCATTGATAAACAGTTTAACTTATTCCCTACTGGTGGAAATTTTAATTATTTGCAAATTTCCAATATAACAAAACTGGAGTGACTACTACTGTATATCTATTGCTCTATGTATTTAACATTTTTTTTAAAGATTTATTTATTTGTGTACACACAACTGGGGTATAAGCCAGAGGTGCAGGGGCAGTGAGAGAATTCACCAGAGACAGAGTGGGGAGCAGAACAGGCAGATCCATGAAGTTGCTAAGGGGAGCAGTAGGGGAGACAGGAGAGGGCTGCTGCACTACGTGGGTCACCTCTCTAGCCAGGGATCGAACTGGTGCCACAGTGGCTATGGCTAGCTTTGCAGTGTTGTGCTTTAACCTGCTGCGCCACCAGGGAGGAGGGTTCATATTTCTTAACATCATAAACAAATATTTAAGTAGGCTAAGTTCCTTTCAGGAGCAGCTTATATATATTTAAAGTCTATTATTATAAATTATATAACAATGTATCACATAACACTAGTGATCTAGAAAGTAGAAAACTGGCGCTTCCACACTGATAACTTGATAGACTCTGAACCACAGTCTAGCCTCTGGGGACTGTGGTATAGCTGAATGTACTACTTGGAAAAACCCACTTTAGATGAAAATCTCAGTATTAATTAATACTACTAGTTGTCTGGAAAAAGCATTCTTTTAAAAAATTATATATATATATATATTTCCATCTTCATTATGTACATTTTTTCAACTCAGTTGTAATCCCTGTAGACTTCCCACCACCACTTCACCATATGCCGTGTGCTCTTCCCACCCCAGTTTGATCCTGTTCCCTTCTCTTCTGTAGAATGTATCTGAAAAAAATATTCTTAAAGAATAGTGTAGTTAAAATGCAAATGTGACATTAATGTATACCACGTTTCCTAAGCAAGAGTAAACAGAGGAGGTTTTGAAAGGACAAATTGCTTTTTGCAATTTCACTAACTCAGCAATGCCAAAAATTTAATCCTGAATTTTGGGATTTTTTTCATTTATCTCCCAAACTCAAGACCTTCACTTGTTAATGGATTCACTCAAGGCAGGAGGGCTCTGACGCGCACTGCTTTCTTACCACTTCCTGTGTGCGTGTTTACCCCGCATCACATTGTACCAGTGATGAATCCTACCAAAGGGAAGATAGTCTTAATCATTACATTTTAAAAACAATGGTTTAAGAGCCTTATTCTGTGAGGATGGCTTGTTGTGGACTGTTACTTTTTCAAACAGGTGAGCAAAGGATTCTATGCCACAGAACACCATCATCATCAGAGTTTCCAGTTCTTGAGAACCATTACCTGAAGCAGTATGCTAGAGATCATATTCCCTTACTATAAGGGGCACTTCGCTCTATATCCTTTTCAAATGACTTCAAAATACAGTCACTTAGATATGACAACACTTGAACTCAAACCACATTGGTCCAAGTGATGAAGGGTCACCAAAAAAACAGAAATGAAGGGAAAGTAATATCTGTGAATCTTCAGTTAACTGATACTCTGTTTTGAGTTCCTGGCTGTTTTATAAACTAATTGTAACAATTGCCTTGAAGCCTGTCTCAGGGATACTTTTGAATAAAACAAATTGAAAAGGAATTGATTCAACTTTAAGGCAATCTCAACTCCTAAAATTCTAACAGCTATCAATAAAGAGAAGAAGAAGACAGAGGAGCACCTGCAAGAGGAAGCAGGAGGCTCCCAAAGACTGTTTTCACAACACTGGTAGTTTACATTAATTGTATTTATAGCTACTTAACCTGTCACTTTCCTTCCTCATTTGTTGAAATGTGGATAATTATAGTATCAACCTCACAGAGTTGCTATGAGGATTAATAATATATGTACAATGTTAGAATGGTGCCTAGCACCTAAGTACCTTGTAAGTTTTTATTTTTAGAACATGAGTTGCAATTACTGTGGCCCATTTATTACTCTATGATGATGCAAACATTTTCCATGCAAAAGATAGCAACTAGTTTCTTAAGGAAAGGTGACATCAGTGCATTTGCAGCCATAACTTAATCTCTGTACTAATAGGTATTACTCAAGATGTTCACTCCTTGAATTAAAAGCTATCACCAAGACACATGCCAAAGGTCTGACACTTTGTCTTCTGGTTTAAATTCACTGCACAGCTGTACAGTATCTTCCTGTAAAGGTGTATTAAACAGGTCACAGGTCACAGGAAGCAATTTCCTTCTTATCTTTCTATCAAGATGTTAAAGGTGAGAAGGACTTTGGTGTTGAGAATAATTACCATGGCTTCCAGTGTTTTTTGGTGGAGCATTCACTGTATGCCTGGAGTTGCAGTTTTCTTTACATTTGCTGTGGCTGAATTAAGAAAGAAGGCATATACAAATTCCTACAGAAATTATGATTCCATGAAAGATTCTGAGGCAATGAGGAAAGCTGTTAACTTTCAGAGTACAAAATGATTTTGGCACAAAAAATGATTTTGGTACAAAATTTCTTTGGGTTTACTCCATAGAAGTCTTTCACTGACCCATGTGGGTTAAACAGTTTCTCTTGATAAATAAGTGGAGGGGGGGGTGAGAAGGGAGTGAGGAAAGGGAGAGAAATTAGAATTTTACCTTTACAATTCAAGTATTTTATGTGTGTAGTAGAAAGGGCTCACACTGGGAAATCCTTTTTACATTATAAACTTTGTTGACCAAGAAATCCTTAATTATCCTTATGTCCTAGGGTAAAAATTAAGCTAACTCTATTTTATTCCATGGCCTTTACTTTCTACTATCTTTTTTTTTTTTAAAGATATATTTATTTATGCATACAGAAATGGGGTGCAGGCCAGAGGTGCAGGGGCGGTGAGAGGATTCACCAGAGACAGAGTGGGGAGCAGAACAGGACAACTGACGAAGTACACTGCTGAGGGAACAGCGGGCGGGTCAGGAGATCTGCTGGGCCATGTGGTCACCTCTGGGGTGGGGATCGAACTCATGCTGAAGTGGCTGGCTTTAGCTTCTTAGTGCTGTGCTTTAACCTGCTGTGCCACTGGGGAGGGCCTTACTTCCTACTATCTTTTACTGTAGGCTTTTCAGTGTGTGTGTACTTTTCTTTTTTCCCATCACATTAAATATAGTTCTGCACATGCTAACATCCTTTTAAGGAAATATTTTCCTCATCTTGTGAGGAACATAAAAACTGGAAAAAAACAAAACAACACTGCCCACAGCACTCCTAGTCATAGAGAAGGCAAGACTATTACCTCTGTGTCCAGGCTCAAAACTGAGGGCACATTTCTCTGCAGCCTCATTTCTATATTAGTATGTATAAACTAAGTATACAAACTTCATTTTGACACTGGCAAATTTGCTTTAAAAATGGTTAACATTAGGGCCCTCTCTGGTGGCACAGTTGTTAAAGCACAGCACTAAGAAGCTAAAGCCACTTCTGCATGAGTTCGATCCCTAGCCCCAGAGGTGACCCACATGGCGCGGTAGACCTCTCCTGACCTGTCCGCTGCTCCCCTCAGCAGTGTACCTCATCAGTCGTTCTGTTCTGCTCTCCACTCTGTCTCTGGTGAATCCTCTCACCGCCCCTGTACCTCTGCCTTGTACCCCAGTTGTGTGCATAAATAAGTCTTTAAAAAAAAAAGTAACTAAGCACAATATTGTAAGTGAAAGTTTTAGAAAAAAGGTTTGTAGCTTCTATGGTATGTTATAGATTACCTCTAAACTAACTTACAAATACAACTTTCAATTTACCTGCATTCCCTGCTTTTAAAATTGTATTTTATGTCCCTTTCCCAGAGATTTCCATGGAGAGATAACAGTATTTTAGATCAAGTCATCCTTTTGAATGATCTCATCTCTGAACTATGGCTGTGATCCAGGTCTTTGGTTCCCTCTGTAGCGAGGCTAGCTTCCTACCTCAAGTCACTTCTTTTGCTTTCCCAATGGCAACAGTTCGGTTCTCTGCTGACTTCTGTGCACTCTAACGCATAGTCTTTCATTTTTTTCTAGTTCATTCAACTCAGTCTAAGATTTGATAAATTTAAACTGTTGAGTTACTGCAAAACCAGTAACTACTGGAACATTTTCAGATGTCTTGTTTTTTATATTCAACATCTTGCTACTGCTACTTTTCCTCTTCTTATTATTTTACTTCAAATATATTGCATAGAGAGCAAGGCTGACTCCAAGAAATCACATATCTTTACAGTCTAACAAAATTATTATTGCTGCTTTTCAACACCAAAAGTCAAAGCAAAATATTTACACTGATTCTTATTCATTTTTTAAAGTAGTTTAATAATTTGTATACTTGTTCTAGAAGCTCTAGTTCTCAAAACCTATCATATAAGCTTGCTATCTAATATCCAATCTAAGTAATTGTAACTCCACATATGGCCTCTAGAATTGAATTTGGCTTGTTAATTTAATAAACTTTTCCAACTCCTAGAATATTTACTTATATCTAGGATAGGAAATCTTTACCTGTGAACAGCATTTTTCTAAATTATGAAGACTTTCTAGGATCAAAATTTAGATTTAAAAGATTTTTCCATATTCCACAAGTAAAATTTTCCCTTTTCTAGGATTACTTTATGCCTTTGTAAAATGTCTACTTCTCTTTTTGTGTTCTTTATATGGTCATACTGGAGCCACAGTTCAAATAGCCTGAAAGGACAAGACTTACAGAACATCCAGTTTCTAAGTGACACAAAAAGCAACCCAAAGGAGCACTGGATGTTTCCAGTTAAGTGCAGACTATTCCAATAGAGTCTAAGAACAGAATATTTTGCCAACTTAGTGACTGAGATTACTCTTACTAAAACACACAGCTTACTTAAAAGGGGCGCTTGAAAAGAACAAGAGACCAAGATGACATAGGAGGAAAATGTCACTCACCAACTGCACCTGACCCAAATGTATCATCGTTGAACTGATCAATCTCTTCATCTTCTTCTCCCAGGCCTTGAAAAGCATCTTCATCTTCATCCAGAGGACAATCCTCCAAAGACTAAAAACAGAGAAGAGATGTTTTCTATTCATATAGTTCACCACCTCATTTAAAAAATGTTCTAAAAAGTGTTCATCTTACCTTCCTAATCAACATAATAGCTTCATTGTAACTTCTTGGAAAGATGGTATTTTTTAATCCCCCAATTTCCCTGACACTGGAAGATTCATTACCCTCTTTCAGTTCCACTTTCCTATTCCTTACTTTATTTTTTACAATTGATCAAGAATCTAATAATAGCATTTCCTCATGCAATCAAGAAACTAGGCCCACAACTTCCCTTACTTCACTCATTAGAACGGTAGTGTTAACTGAAAATGAATACTATTTGCTAGAATTTTGTGTATACTTCAAAAAAATTCTCATCTTCCTCACAATGTCTTTTCCACGATGTCATTATTTCCTTTTAAAGTTTTCTCTACATTCTACCCTCCCCTCCTTCTGTTTCTTATACACACAAATGCTAAATTTTCCATCACAACTCCTGAAAAGTGTTATATGACAAGTTCAAATTTTCCAAGTGGTGTGAACTTGGCCAAGTCACATTTTTTAAAATTAACTACTTCTTGACCATCTACTGTGCCTCAAGTCTCCTGTGTAGTAAATGCAGGGACAATACCACTTGCCTCAGAAAGTTCTGAGGCAAAAAGACAATGGTTGTAGACTGCGGAACAATGCCATAGGTCTCCATGACAACCAAGGTGTGTTCTGTTTCACCCTTTTCCCTCCCCTTACATCACTTTTCAAGTGATTCATTTTCTAAGGTTTCTTTTCTTTTGGTAACTCTGCCTACTGCACCTCATCTCTTCCCATGCTTATTTAGTTTGGCCTTAAAATGATTCCTATCAAGTATGTGAGTCCCCAGTTTCCAAAGACTTAGAAGGGCAATTCCACAGTGCCTTGGTAGGCAGGTCTGCGATACACCCTGCCTGGCCACATCTCAGCTATGCTATTACCGACAGAAAGGTTAAGTCAAAGGGCCATGCCATCCATCTTAGGCCCTCACAAACTTACATGAAACTGGCATGCAACTGCCCCCACATCAGAGGCAATTTCCAGCACTCCCTCGCAAATCACAAAGACCCACTCAAACACGTTACTGAATTCTTGAACTGGACAGACTCTTAGGAATCATCCCGACCGGCCCTTGCATTCTAGAATTCCACAAACTTTCTGTCCGGAGATCAGGAGTTGGTCAAGGTCACACAGTGAAATCAGTGACAGGGTCAGGACTCCCGACGATTGCTACATCCCCCGCACAGTCACCAAACCCATGTCTCCCTCCACTCCTGGTGGACACGCCCCCTCCTCCCAACTCGGAGTCCTCGTTAGTAAACCGTCTTCAGCCCCAGTCAAAGGGCAAGTCCAGGCCGCGTGGACCCGATGGCCGCCTGAGTGTGCGGGTGTGCGGTGTCTGTGCGTGTGCGCTGTGTGTAGCTGGAGGAGCGCTGGTTCCGGGTCCAGGGCGGGAAACGATCTCTGGGCTTTCCCAGGTCACTCCTCTCCCTCAGAGAAGCCGCCCGCTGGGTGCGACGCTCACTGCCCCCCCCAACCCCCCCGTCACCCCTCCCGGGGTGTGGATGGCCGCGTGAGGGCAGTTAACGGGTCCGCCGCACCCCAAAAGGCACCCACTACCCAGCGGCGACCCAACGGACAGCCCCGCCCCTCGAAACCACCACACAACCCTCGAGTGCACCCGCGACCCCAGGCCCGACGCGCTTCCCTGTCCCGCGGGTCCCACCGCCCGCCCCCTCCCCCGCCGGCGCGCGGGACGGACACGCAGGGGGTGAGAGGAAGAGGGGCGCGGGAGGGAGGGAGGGGTCACTTCCGGTCGCAACAGCTCACCTCGTAGCGGAACATTCTTGGGGAGGGGGGGGAGGGAGCGGGGAGGGGAGTGGGGGAGGGAGGGAAAAAGCGTTGACTCCCCGGGCTCCTCCGCGCGCGGGTCCTCCACCGGCTCGCGACCCCTGGCCGCCGCCGTACGCCGGAGCGTGCGTGGGAACGTGCGCAGGCGCGCCTGAGGGTGGGCGGCCCCCCAGCTCGGCGCCCGGCGGCGGCGTCTGCGCGGGGACAGATTTGGCGTCCCGCTTCCTAGTCTCAGCGGCGGGAAGGAGGTCCCGTGGCGAGAGACTGCGCACGCGCTGCCCGTCGGGGCGGCCTTACAAGCTGTGCGGGCAGCTCCGCCCCAGATTCTTTGGTCCCGCCCTGCTCTCGGGTTCCAGTCACGAGTTTTCCGTCATGGACCGGGCGGGGAAATCCCTTTTGAGGGTCATAGGATCGGGCTTGGAAGAGTGCAGGGATTAGCTGGGGCTGAAGAAATGTAGATGCCCCGGCTCCTTTGCCTGCTCCTGCGTGGGCTGCCCAGGGCCCTCGCGACAGCGCAGGGCACCCAGCTAAAGTTAGGACATCGAGAGGGGCGGCATTCCTGGGCACTTTGAGCGGTGTGTCACCCGCTGAGTCAACGGCGGGGCTAGACTGTGGTTTTGTTTCTCGAAGTGCTAACTAATAGAGCCTTTCTCTCCTCCCACCCCCCTTATTTTTAAAGGCACGTTTCGGGTGGTAAACCCGCATATGTTGGGGTGCCGGGTGCCAACCAGGACCGCGTGGCGGGGGCTGGCGGCAGAAAGGTCATCAAGGCCGAGCAGCGCCAGCTAGGAGGGTTAAGACCATATGATCAGCCTCTGCGGGCACCGTGATTCCAGAAGTCTCTGCCGGTTTGCGGCCAGTGTGAACTCCCAGACCTTTCTCTTTCCCCATAAAGACAGAACTTGCATAATGAGGCTATGTTTCTCCTGCGTTTCGCAACTCCTTTCTCCGGTTGTTTTAAAATGCAGCATCACTAGTAATGACATGCAGTAAATTCCTTACGAGCTAGTGTGGCTGGATTAATCAGAGCCACCGTATTGGGAATTAAGGAGTTGGAACTACCCAGGTGACAATCAGTGTTTTGTCTCTGACTGACAAACACTGAGCTTTGGGACAACTAATCTAAACATGTCTGTACCTTCATTTCTTCGAAAGGTTGGTATAATCCTACCTGCCTCACAGAGGAACTGAGGATGCCAAGGGCATCGTGCTCCTTCTGCTGCTGTTGTACTACTGAAGCCTGTTAGGTTCTCACTTCGGTGCTTTATGTGGGTTATGTCCTTGAGTTCTTGTGCCAGCCCACTGAAGTGAGTACTGTTACCATCTTCATTTTAAGAGGAGGAACCAGAGGATTAGCGAGGTCAGGTCATTTGCCTAACCACCTAATGGCAAAGCTGGCAAAAGAGATGGTCTGATTGTGAAAACACTATGTCTTAATCACTGTGATAATTCAGCAAAGACAGATATTTACATGGACCAGGCCTGTGCCTTAAAGAAGTGGAGCAGGCACTGCTGGTGGGAATGCAAACTAGTACTGGTATGGAAAACTGTTTGGAGGTTCCTCAAACTGCTAAACATGGAGCTTCCCTACGACCCAGCAATCCCACTCCTAGGTATCTACCCAAAAGACACAAAAATACTGATTGAAAAAGATACCTGCACCCCCATGTTTATTGCTGCTTTATTTACAATTGGAAAAACATGGAAGCAGCCCAAATGCCCAAAAGTAGATGACTGGATTAGAAAGAGGTGGTACATATACACAATGGAATATTACTCAGCAACCAAAAAAGAGAAACACATGTCTTTTGCAGCAACTTGGATGGAGCTGGAAAAGATCATGCTTAGTGAGATAAGCCAGAAAGAGAAAGAAAAATACCGGATGGTTTCACTTATAGCAGGAGTATAATGGACCAGGCCAGAAAATAACAAAAATAATGAACAACCATATACCAGAGACATTTTGTGGGGGTGGAGTGGGGAATGGGACCAAAAACGGGGGAGGGGGGGAAGGGAGGGAAATGCACGGGACTATGGTGGTGGCACACGGGTGATTTGGTGATGGGATACCCACGGGGATTACAATCGAGATGGGAAAAAAATGTGCAAAATGATGTAAAAATAAACTTTTGTAATAAAAAAAAAAGAAGTGGAGCAGGCTAAGGATATGATGATAATTGGTTTGCAAGCATGCATGGGACATTACAAATCTTCATTACTAGGTAACAGCAAGCCTTTGCAGAGAGCAGGCTTGGTACTGTGTAAGCCAACGACTGGCAAACCCTGGCCCATGGCTGAATCTGGCCAGTTGCTTGTTTTTGTAAGGAAAGTTTTATTAGAAAACAGCCACCATCCCTATTCCCCCTCATTTTTCACATACTGTCTTTGTTCCTTTAGGGGAACATTAGTTGTTTTGAGTACTTTAATAGTAGAGGCCACTTGGCCAGCAAAACCTAAAATATTTATTCATCTTGGCCCTTGAGAATTTATAGATCTCTAATGTTGCACATCTTTTCTGATCACTATGTTAGAAATCAGAAATTTAAAAAAGACTTTAGACCTCTGATTCATGGGCTATCTAAGAAGACATAATGGAAAATAGAAAATATTTACAATGCCTAAGATACTAAAAGATAAGGCAGTTTATATAAAAAAGTAGGAAAGCATGAAAATGAGTGAACTATGGGATATACTCAAAGGAGGACAAAAATAATGAGCAAAAATTAAAGAACGTGATGGAAGCTGTAAAGGTCAGCTTCATTGAAAAGCAATGATCCTAACAAAATTCAAGAAGGATTATATCACATATGAGAATACTTCTCTGTGGGTGTAGGGTACAAGATGGGGTGCCTGAAAGCCTTGAGGCAACACTGATGAGCTTTGCGCCCCAGGGACTGATCAGTGGAACACCTTGTTAATAAGATTAGAGCCGTGGGTGGGAGTTGGGTGTATACTCACCCTCCCTGGAGCCCATAATCCAGTTCAGTTTGACCCACCCCTCTCTGTCAATAAAGAGGCTCAGATCCTATACTTAGCTGCTCCAGGACACCTGTTTCTCTTCTTCGGTGTTATTGACACAACATTTCTAGTTACCTGGAATGAAGATCCGACACAGAAGCCTCTCCTTGTCATTACCATGGTGATCACATCAGAGCAAGCATTTGTTTGTGATGTGGATAGAAAAGACTGGATCCAATTATGCTGGTGACTTTAGTATCAATGAAATTTCCCTATTCTGGAAGAGGTTGCCTGAAAGGGCTTTTTATCCATCAACCGGTCAAGTCAAAGCCAGGTTTCAAGACTTTTAAGAACAGTTAACAGATTAACAGTCTTGCTTGGGGACCATATTGCATGCTACAAGTTAAAGCTCTTTGTGATCTAGCACAGCGAAAATCCTATAGCCTTCAAGTATATCAGTAAACTAAGCACGCACTGCTGCACCACCCAGGAGAAACAGGAAGTCCTGGATGGCCCAGCTCCTCTTCCAAGATGCCCACCTGAGTTGCTGTGCCAGCAAAATGAAG